CCAACCTATAGTGTGGGACACCTAGATGAGTTCTGGACAGAAGTCCCAAAATTCAACTTAGGCTGGGCCCTCCAATAGGGATTACTAGAGCCCCATACCACAACGATGCATGTGGATTTTGGGCCGGCATTCACAGCGTCGCATCTGGTTCAGAATTGCCATCCTCCAAAATATGACAATTATTTCCTCCATCTACTCAACTGGAACGCAACATTAGAAAGTTAAATTGATTCTCCATCGATATATCTATTAACATTGAGATATGGTTGCTGTGGTAGAGTGATGATACATTTCTTGCGGTGTTTTTTTTGGGGACCCCAAGTAGGTGTCACATACCACAGATCCGTGTTCCGACGAGGTATCGATATAATAGTCCGTTAGAGGGCTGATACTGTATAGTCTCCACCTGGGGCATCGCGAAACTGGACGGGTGGCGAACCGGGATTTCTCACGAAGAAATTTCTTGTTCTTGTTATTTTCTTTGACCATAGACTTTTTGCCCATGAGCTACCCTTGTTCTCCACTCCCCTGACCCCCCCCCCCAGTGAGACATACGTCTTAGGGGCCTGTCGTTGAATTTGCAACAGTACAATAGTGCCTAGAGAGACAAGCTGCAGCATGTTGTATCATACATTGTACGCAAGACTTCCACACTCCAGCTTTTTTTTTTTGTATTTTATACCCTTCAATTTAACCTTCCTTGCTTTATGTACTGTATTCTAACTTGATTGGAGGAAGTGTTCTCTAGGTATTCGACTACCCACCACTTGGAATTATGTTTTATGAACTTGTCACAGACTCAGCAAATATGAGTACAGTCGCACCTCGCTATCCCGGACGGCCAAAATCCGAAGAATCCGTCCGGCACAGCAAGGGATCCGGGACAACGGGCCAGGCTTTGGTAGAAGGAAGTTCAGAGTTCACTGAGATTCATACGAGACAGCGAGGTATCCGGATTATCGAGATCCGGGACAGCGAGGTTTGACTGTATGCTCTTTATAATTTTCATTTTGATAGGAGAATGTCGATCGTGAGAACCTGTTCGTTCGTGACATTCTACCAGAATTCACTCTTTAAACAGTACTCGAGTGCTCGTACTCGGGTATAGGTACATTGCACAGTACCTGCGTTTTGAAGGGACTCAAGGGAGGGGTTATCTCTTATTTTCCGGTGGCTAGCTTACCGAGAAACCAAGGAGGAAGCTTCGCCATTGTCTCCCCGATTAAAGCTCAGGGATCTATCTGTTAGCTCCCCAAAGTGCTGGAGGTCTCCCCAACGTATACCGATGGGCCTACCTGGTGCTCTTACCGGCAATTCTAGATATGGTATATTCGATTTTAGATCTTCCAGCTGGGGTCGTCTCGACAATCTCTGCAATTCTCAAGACCGGGGGGAATTTCCAAGAACCAGGACTAGACATCAACCCTCCCGCGTGTAGCTCTCTTTCATTTCCTCTGGTATCAAGACATCACCTAACCACCACTCACGGGTAATGATACCCCTCAACCCCACCTTTCTTTTTCCTCAAATGATTGAGTTGCCCATCACAGCACCTAGCTCCCTAGGAACGCAAGAAGCTATAGGGTAAGTGAGGACTCGTGATTAATGTGCCGTGTTGTGCTGTGCTGTGGTATTTGGCTGCCCAATTAGAATTTCAGTAGCGTAACTAGCACGACAGAGGTTTATCCCCGGTTGCACAGTACCACTATCTCTCCCTGTTTCGCTGCCTTGCTCACCGGGTTGTTATCGTGGAGAATTCAATCATAAGTTTTCTTCGGGATAAGAAAAAGCAATGGAAACTAATCCACGGTACTTGTAACATAACTCAAATCTTAATCTTGGTTAACCTCCCTTTGCATGCCGCCGAGTACTCGAGTACAAGTATCAAGCACGTGGACCTGTACTAGTACGAAATCCAGCATGCAGAACCCGAACACAGGGGGCTTAATTCCTTGAATTTATCCTAGTTAAACCTATCCGGCATCCGCTAGCAAAACACTATCATACTACAAGTACAGTACTTGTCCCGTGGGGCAAAAACCTGCACGGCAAATTGTTTGCGCCCATCTGAGCACCTAGTCTAGATTTGGACTCAAACGTTCGGGATTTTCATGTTGGGGACCCGTGCTAGCACAAGTACAGTCGCACCCCGCTATCCCGGATGGCCAAATTTCACAGATTTCATCCGGGACAACGGGGTATCCACAATGGAGAGACTTAGGTATTACTATCTAAAGAACAATAAACAATATTTAGTCCTATTCCTATCACCGGCAGAAACTTCAAGTTTATCTCAACAAATATTCATAGGCAGTATTGACTCCTCCTTTAGTTGTCCATTTATTAGGAACACATGTAGTATGTTCTTCATCCTCCTCTCCACGACTACTTGTCCCAATATACTCTGCCTCCATCTGCCTGTCTGAGCCGAGGCTGGTAGAACTTTCTTTGCCCTTTACCTTATGCACTTCCCTTTTCCCCCTCATTCCCCCCCTACTCTGACCACCAGTACAGACACCACTGGATCTACCAATCCCACTTGACTCACTGACACTCCTAGGCCCACCAACAATCCAGAATGTCATCCTTTCCTGTTTAAGTCTAGTTTTTTCCGAGAGCCCTGAAGGAATCCGGTACAGCAGGCCAACTTTCTATTGGAACTGTGATTAAGGTTCCCCAAAATCTTCATACGAATCCGAAACCACCCAATTCCAGTTCAGCGGGTGGAATCCTATGTGAATTCAGGGGAGCCCAAGATTTTGTACGGTTCAGCGGGGTATCCGGTTCGGCGTGATCCGGGATAGCGGGGTGCGACTGTACGAAAACATTGTACCGGGTGCTTGTGCTCGTAGAGTGCCCACCACCATACCATAGCCGTAAAAACTCGAATAATCAAACCAGGTACTATGTCCTTGGGGTTACCTCCTCTAGTAAGGTCTATTTTTTTCTCCGACCATTTATGTCTTTCTATCAGGCGCTGGGTACAAGTAGAAGAACTTTTTCTTTACTGTGTTTCTCGCGCCCCTTTTGGAGAGTGGGGAATTCTCAGCCGCAGGTAGGATTGGAGTTGGCTTGCCTCGCGGACGTAACCTATGAGTAGACTGTAACCATACCGGTATCCACTCTGACGATCCACTATCTCCGTCAGGTCTCAAATCTCCGCGATCAGAAACATAAAAATCTAAGAAGGCTTAGTGTTTACCTAACACAGTATAGCTTGTACGTGCTGGGATGGTTAATGAAATTACGGTACGCCCTCCAGTCAATGCGATCTACCGTAGTAGTCTCACCCTACCTAGGCTATTGCACTTTAAGTAAGTAAACACTACCCGTTGCCCTTCTTGGGGGTTTTGTCTCTGATTGCGGAGATTAGGGTCTGACGGAGATAGTGGGTTGTCCGAGCAAATACGGTATGCCTGTTAGGTGGTGCTGCATTTCTACAAGTAGCTCGCTATAAATAAACTCGATTGAAGACTGCACAGCAGACGGTTAGATCATTATTCGAGTTTTTATGGCATTTGCGGCCTCTTTATCTATAATAAGCCATTCATCTCGAAACCGCAGGCATGATAAACTCGGGCGATTATCTTTTTTCCCTCCCCCCTTGCTTCGCTGCTGGAACGTCTGACCGTTGGTTGCGACATTATCGAGGCTGGGTTAGGCATTGGGGCGCGCTATTAGATGAAACAGAGCTTAAGCTCGAGACCCATTCTGGAAACCTTCCCGGCAGAGCAGATATGAAATATGGAAAGGATTTTTTTTACCCTTGCAATACCATTATGAGAAGTTGGGCCGTGCGAATCCACATCATGACGGCAACAGTCAACAGTTTCGGGGCAATGGGGGAATGAATGGAAAGAAAGAACTCTTTGCACGTATAGTACTGAGCAGCCCAGTGACAAAAGTGTCGTTTACGTAATTGAGAGCTCGACTCACCCACTCACCCCTTGTCAACATCACCGGTAATCTCCCATCTACGAGTAACACAGTATCAGGCGAGTAGAATAGAATAACAGGGATAAATCCAACATAATCTTCCAAGAAATAGCCTTTCAAATCAAGATTCAGGTATGATATTAACTCTCAACAATAAATAAAGGACTTCCTCTAGTCTAAAGTTATGAGTGGCTATATCTTCTCCTATGCTAGCATTAGGCCAGGCGTTGATCTGTGGTCGCTTACTGCTTGATTGATTACTCAACCACCAACCCATGGGGGACCCGCGCGGTGAATCCAGGGAGGGCTTTTCTTGTTTCGCTTTTGGAAGGAATTTTGGAGAGTATTAAGCGCTTTTTGGGGTCATACTTACCGGGACGCAGCCCACCAAGCTATCCTGACACCCCCTTCACCAGGACAGCTAAACCCAGACAAGAAATTTTCCAGTGGTTTTACCCACTCTGGCACTTGTACTGTACTCGAGTCGGTGTACCGGTACCAGGACTTTGCTAACTCTGCTGATTGCGGCTCGTTTCCTGGTCCCTGCCAAGAAGTATCTCTCCTGATGGCCTGGGAGGTTGTCTACTACTGTAGCACTCGAGCACTCGCAGAAATACCGAAGAATCCTCGACGAAAGAACTCCACCTGGATCCCGAGTGGTTCCCAAAAGTACGGATAGAACAAATCTCCCCAAAACTAGTATCATATTCCCCGAAGAGTAATTCTCAGTCCGTCAGGAAACCCCTAACCCGGTCACACATCCAGGTACAAGTAGTCAAGGCAGAATAACTGTACGGTGGACTAACCCCACACCTCCAAGTTGATACGAAGCTGTCCCATAAGCTACGTGCCCCCCCCTACAGTCGCATGCGGTAATACAAAACCTGGGATGTTGAGATTAGTTGGTTCCAACACGAAGAAGGATTCCAGGAATGGGGAATGCTCGCCCAGGCTTGGGACTGCCATCTTTTTTTAGGTAAACTTCTTAAGGGGGTTAACGTCCGGTCAAGGCCGCACCACTCGGTGAATTTTCAACAACTTTGCGAGCGTGTTCAGGAACGAAAAAAACCCTTTTATCATACAAAAAGAAGGAAGGTAGAAAGAGTACTCGAAGGAAGGGCGAAGAAAAGAGAGACCCCACCTGCTTAACCTTTACGACTGAGTTTCCCCTTCTCCCAAACGCTGTTCTTCCGGAGAGACCGAAGCGAAAGCGGGGGCGAAAATTCGATTGCGATAATTTATTATTTATTATTTTTTTGAGGAGACAGGAAAGAAGGAAGGCACAAAGATGTCGTACCAATTACCTGAACATCACCAGGGGGGGCATCAATATCCCGAGGCCACTTACTCCCCTCAAGCCATTGGAAACACGCAATCGCATGGTTACCCTCAAGAACAGCAGCCTCACCACGCTGGGTATAACTACAATCCGGACCAGTCCAAGGGAACCGGGTATGTTCCGCCGCATTCACAGGGACATTACCAACATCACCATCCTCAGAAATGGGAGCACGGACTGTGCGGGTGCTTTAGTAAATGCGGAGTTTGTAAGTACACCAACTGAACCGGGCCGGCAGGGGAAAACCTCGACTTTGGATACATATGGGGAGAATTCCACATTGGCTAATTTCGTTCTTAAGGTTGCACTGGTTGGTGGTGTCCTTGCATCCTCTTTGGAAGGACCAGGCATCGTCTGCACAATCCTACGATGAACGGGTATTCGTGCTGCAATGGAGGAGTAAGTTACCCCACGTTACTTTTTGTTATATCCCTTCACGATTCTGGTCTTTTTTTTTTTCTAACCCGCGCTCGTTTTTAGTGTATGGGATACGCCGCCCTTTGCACATGTCTACCTCCTTTCAACTTTATTCTCGGCCTCATGCAGCGCGGTGAGATCAGGCGAAAATATAACCTAGAGGGTAGTGGTTGTGGGGATTGCTGCAAGGCCTTCTGCTGTGGGTGCTGTGCCCTCATCCAGGAAGAGAACGAAGTAGTATCAAGGATGCAAACCACTGGGGGCGGTTACCAAGTCCCTGGAGGTATGCAATACGGGCATTGATGCTCTAGTCTGTATTTCATGTTTAGCATCTGGATTCTCGGTTTATGTTATGGAATATTTTCATTATCAATACTTTAACCTTTTACTCTTTTTATAGGCCTATTTTCCTTTTAATACCAATCTTAAGCTTGTGATATTCCATGAGTGGCTGCGCCGCCTTGAGTTTCTGTTTTTAGACTAGGGATTTCCACACCCCGCCCATTTAGTTCCACCCCCCCTCTTTATTGCTTACTAGAATGTGATGATTGAAGATCGTCGAGGTGGTCTATCATTTCCTGCTCAAAGAGTGGTCCTTAATCTCGGGAACGCGGGCAGAGGATGGGGCGTGTGGGGCAGGCAGTCTCGAGGTTTCCAGAGAGCTCTCTAGCCCCAAAGAAGCCTTCACGGATACCGTAGGACTGGTTCATTCTTACGGGGATTGCCCGGGCTCTGCGGTCATCCTCCGATAGTACCGGACCAAGGCTCCGCAACGGCGCACGGCATGTACAGCTTACTATAGCCGTATACTGATATCACTCATATGGCTCGTGATCACCGACCTTGGGGGCCACCAGTCAATGCCGCTATATATCCTGGATTTCGTTTATCCCTGATGTTCCCACCCCACACGAAGATCGGATATAGGGATTGGGGATTAAATCCCCCCCCTGACTACTAACTACTACTACTACTACCCCAAACCACACGTACGAGTGAGTAGGAATGTACCGTATGATACTCGTACTTGTAAAACTTTTTTTCTTTTCGGCGCGGCTTCCTCCGGTGGAGCCCTGGTTGCCCGTCTATTGGTGCCCGTGATTGTGTCCGATATGTCGGGTCACCCATGACAAACCCCCAGGGTCCTCAACACCACCGCCGCGCGGGGGGGAGGGGGGGGGGGAGTTAATGGGTTGTCGCTCGCCATCCACTTGTATTCACCCTCGCTGCGAAATCCGATTTATCCGCTGTGTTGGATATACCCCATGCGGTCGGTAGGTATGATAATATTCGGGATGCGGCATATTAATTCGTTCGGATAACGTTTTTTTTTTCTTTCCCCCTTCCACCACGGTGAAGGGTGTGACAGTCAGCATTAGGAATAACGCACCTTCCTTTCAAAGTTTCACTTCAGGAAGGGCGATTTCGTGTTCTGGAAGCAAGAATTATTAAATCCTTGTAATAATTCTAATCAGTAGCTGTTGTGGGTTGTTGATGATCGGTTTCATGGTTTGTCACTCGTTCACTCTCTCCCAGAAATGTAACTGGATAGGTTTTTGGGTCTTTAAGTGGGCATCAATCTCTAATAGCTGGTGAATACGGAGGTATTTTGGCCCGTGGGCGGGGCCGGAGAAGGAGGATGTGGGGCTTGAAAACTCGAACAAGTGGGCATTAGATAAAGTGATAAATCGAGTATGAAACTATGAAGGGTGTTGTTGGTTCTGCAGGGTGCAATATATTAGCTTTTTATGCTCCTCTACCATATGCAGCTTCGTAGTTCACTCCTTAAAAAAATTCGGAATTGTACTGATGCATGATGCTCCCGTTCCCGGGCTGCGAACAAAATTTGGTATTACTGTATGCAGCGAGCAAAAAAAATGAGGAATTGGAATAGTTAAGGGTAAGGGAGAAAAGTGCAGAGAAATCGTGCAATATCAATATCAAGTATCATACGTATTAACCAAAATGTTGGACCTGGTGCTTATCCTCCGTACAGAGAAAGTCTCATTCTTTCACAACTTGTTCCTTACACCTTTTGTTGCTTTTAGTTTTCATCTCTTTTAACACTCCTTTCCCATTCTCCTCTCTCATCACTCCTCTCTCATCGTTGACTCTGTACCCAATTCAACTATGGCATGACTCCCTTTCCCATTCCATATTCGTTCCTTTCTCATCTCTTTTGCTTCTCCTCGCATCTCATACTATATATATTGTCCATATTTGCCTTTGGTTTTGTTTCTCGTTCGTGTTTCCTTTTCTTCTTCCCGGATCGAGGATATAAACCTACGAGAGTCCGTGTAATCGAAAAAAACTAAGATTCGCTTCTTACCCTCTCTCAACTCTGTTTTAATAAGCTCCAACACACTTCGCATAGAGCCAGAGTATTGGATAACTTCATCTCGAACCACTTCGATAATTCTTAAAATAGAGGGAAGAGTCTAATGCGCGAGTATATACAGAGAACAATAATGACCTCATCAACCATTAGGAAAGACTTATTTCTTGTATCCAGCCCTTAACGCATCACCACCCTCACACCAATATACGCCTTCAAACCTGACGGGCAGGAAGATACTCGGCTTATGCGATATAGGGGCAGAATAATCAAGAACTAATGAAGAGCTCCCTATCACCCAAGTGAATGCAACCCAATATAAAGAAATGACATAGAACTCGGAAAGTAATGTGTGTGAGATTAGAGAAGGAAACGGTTTGTAGACAGCGAAGACAATATCTTCAACATACTTATTACTACAAATTCGAGTGATATTCAATGATTATCTCTGGAGAACTGTTGGCGGACAATTGTCGCTCCCAAGGATTAGTGCCCTTTGTGTCCCCCTAGATGCCCTGGCGGACTTTAAAGGTCCTTTTTGGAGAACAGGCTAGGCGTAACTATTAACTTCCAGCTGGTCTCGCACTGAAATTCGGTGGACGGAATTGCTAAGGAAGATTGAATAGTAAGGTAAATCGATATGTGGCTAACAAGATGGAGGTCAAGGAGTTCTGGAAACTGTGAGAAGTTGAAGAGATTATAGGTATTCTTTTATATGTATATATAGGTTGTAATGGACCCTCCGGTGCCAGAAACAATGACGTTGGGCAGTCTGATGGAGTGTTGAGGGCCTCTTGGAGCTCTGGAAAGAAATTTAAGCAATCCAACTCACTAAGTAGAATATACTCTTTTCCTTTTAATTATTATAATTGTTCGACGGTTTCTGGTCCGAGTTGCGTAGATCGCCATAGATGCATGGAAAAGGGTGTACTCGCAATTCTCTGACGTTTGTGAACACAACTGGGTCCGCGGACGCAGCCAAGTGCCGTGCATCAGATCTGAATACGGAAGACTTTTGGGGTATTGTTTGTTGAGAAAAGCTCAGGGAGGGGAACTTGCGAGTACTTGAGTTTAGGTCACATTTGCCATTTTATGCGCTGTTACTACTGATGCCATTGGGTTATCTAGCAGATGCTAGTTTATACGGACCCAGTTGTGTTCACTAACGTCAGAGAATTACTAGTAGGGTTGTGAGAGGGGATAGGACTTTAAGCTTTCAGAGAATGGGCTCTAAGATTCTCTTAGATAAGCTTGATATCCGGATGCAACTTGCAGTGCTTATCAAGATTCATTCACCACATACCTGTAGGTTCAAGATGGAGACAATGTTATGGCATTACCTTATCAAGGACTAGAATATGTAATTAGTTTGAGCATGATAGAGTTACCATGCACCTAAACTTTCGCGATAATTGCACCAGTGTACTATCATAGCAGCATCCAAGCCCCGGCTGCAAGTTGGTAGTTGGAATTGCCGGATTGTAATTTTCTTTTTTTTCTTTTGTTTGACAACGTACCAGAAACACCGCTGCTACAATCAGGTAGCCTGAATGCATGTTTTTTTTTTTTTTTTTTTTGGATAGGTTGGAATTTACTTTGGATATCCCAAAAGGAAAGTGGACTACCTGGTGGCTAGGGTAGAATTTATGGTAATATTATAAGTGGTGGCGATTGTGTGTGATATCATAGTGTCTATAGCGTGTCTAGCCCTACCCCTAGTGCTTCCTTGAGATATCTATATTGCCATGAGAGGGTAAGAGATATATGTATCCTTGGTGTGGGTGCATTGGAATGATGTTGAGTACAGAGTTGACCTTCTAGTTTATGTGTTTGTATCTGTGAAATTATTAGACAGCATTGGTTGTGCCAAATACCTGTGGGAATAGAAACATGTGTTTGGGAGGCTCTCCCTCAATGTTAACTCGTATAGGAAATAAAACCTGGCAATTTCTACCAAGTGGTGGCTCGATCGGTATTCCCGGGGAAATTTATATACTCTACCCTATATCTGAACTCTTGATTATAATCCCTTCTCGGGATTTGGACATTATTGGGAGTTAATGGTATGTTTTAACTACGGTGTTTAGGTATGACCGATTTTGGCCAAAGACTGGCCAGGGTGAAATATCGGCTTCCGCCAGCCTACCTGGCAAAGATATTGGTGGTTAAAGCTGATAAGAATAAGCGAGCGGATCAACTTGTTAACGAGGGGTACGGGGAGATCTCCGGCAAAAAACACAAAGCCGTACTCACGGGATCACCCGGACTGTCCTCTCGGCGATTACTTGCGTAGGGCGTCGTTCGGTTATTCGGCCGGTGCACCCTTTACCGGGGAAGAGGGCAAGCGCATTCGAACCAGGCAGAATTTCTCTAGGTCCCCCGTGGCCTTGAACCTGGACGAGGGAATCTCTACAAGCCCCGAGCCTTTGAGGGCCGCGCGGTCTGCCCGCAGCCAACCAGATACAGCTACCCTATCTAGTCTTCACGCTTGTTAAAGGCGCTGGTGTTTATGATACCTATCTGTTTTTTTTTGTTTTTTTCACTAGCAGCTGCTCTGAGATTTCAGGTGCTTGGGAGGGTAGTACTATAAGATTCATAGAAGCGATTTAGTTGGGTTTCCAATAGCCCCCATTGGCTTGATATTATAGAGTTAATTACCTCCGAGCAAAAGGTTACAGATTTGAGGTTGCTAGCCCGTGACGACATCCGCCATGCAAAAAGGCCCTGTATCGAATAATGAAATCCAAAGGGAGGGGGGGTTGGCTGACCGCACCGAGCGATTTCAGTTAACCACTCGGTCTACTAAGCCTGATTCCAGCCCACCCCTTCCAAAGTGGTAGAGTGTCTGCAGAAGAGGCTGCGGTGACCGGATAAAAAGCCTTGGGGAACCTAAATACCGTAAGCTAAAACGTTCCCAGTGCTTTCACAAGATTGTTTGAGAAAGTTCTTATATTTGCTAGTGCGAGTTATGGCGAAAACGGTGACAGTGCTGTTGAAGAAGGCGCAATCGCGGCATTGCAAGATTTAAACTGACTGTAGGAGGAGGGTGATCCTCTTAATAGGCTCCGATACCTCTGATCTTTAGTAAGGGTGGACTCGGATTCTGTGCTCATATCCTGTTAGAAGATAAGTTACAGACTATTTGAAAAAGTTGGAAAATTGCAACTAGCCTATGTGATTCTGATATGGCTTGCCTCTGTTAGTATGTTACCGGAGCCTCTGAGATAGGAGACCTCACCGGAAGTTTCCTGAGATTACTGGGTGGTGGGAATAGTCCCTCTCCTAGATATCTCATAGCACCTATCAGCTAAAAAGCAGATCCGAGAAGCTCGAAACCCGTGACCGGAGAGAGGATAGGAAGTTTTCTTAAGACCTTAAAATATTTCGTAAAGCCATCCTAGAAATCTTGCTTCTGCCAATGCCTAGGAAAAAACTCGGGGAGGTTGTCACATACATTCATGGGTACAGTACCAATCAATTCCCCTTAAACCGCAGATACCCGTTCCGCTATGGTAAGTACTGAAAAATGGACTTTAGAACACCGTAAGTACTATGTATATTGCTCGATACTTCTGTGAACCGCCAGCTCGGAATGTACGGGCGCTGGAAGAAAAGCAGATATCTGCCCGCTTCCGAGTGATCGAGAATGGTTCCTCTGGTTTTGGGGAGCTTCATGGCATGGGTATCCGTTGGCGTGGATTGAGCTGAGAACAAGCGTATGGGCTAACAGCCTCCGCGCCTACATGACTATTCTCGCGCGATATGTTATCTTTACTAGTATATCTTATGGGTTTGGGGGTTAGATGACCGCGCTGTGCAGAACTTAGTGGAGATTCGGAGTGTGCACTTATATTCTAGCCTGGATAGTTGTATCCAACCTAGTAATCGGGACCAGCGAAGGGGTTAATTGTTTGGGATGGGAATCGTCAGGATGAAGAGTGCTTAATGGCACTAAAGTGATGAGAGAAAATAATTAGCCCTATAACCCAAGAATATTTGTCAATGCGCGAGGGATTTAGCCACACATTTAGGAATATACCGAGTGATAAGAAACTGCCCAGAATCCACACTGCCCAATGCTTTGAACCTATCAGGATGTTTTCGATTTCTCTACATGTCCCAGGGCCGAACCGATAATATTTCACTAGCACATGGCATACGCTGAAAGTTATGATGAGCAGCCAGGTCCCCATGAGGTCCGGCTGGGCTGTAGGGTATCTTCTGGCCCGTCGTCTTGCGAATACCGAGGTAGTCTCGGGCTATGTTATTAAGGAATTAGGAGAAGGGGAGTTGCCCAGTGAAGGCTTCCGGAAAGGGATACTTCACAGGTCGTAAAGTTCCTGTCCACCCCACGAACTTCTATGACGCCAACTCCCCGCGATGATGATGGGCCCTTGAGTCCTCCTTCTCAGCAGCTGTTTTTGAGGGAGGGATATAATAAGTGGAATTTGAGGAGATTCTACTGTAAATAACCGTGGGAATTTCCATTATGACATCATCAGGACGCGTGCGGGATTCAAAACAGACACCATCTACTGGCCTTTCATTTCACTCCCCCGAACCGTCCATTCTTACCAACTTGTGAGCCACAATCGACGTAAAAGGGAGCTCCGGCAGCCGCGAGTTCCAGCCCCGTGTAGTGCGCACGCGGAGGTCTATTACTATGGGTACTAAAACGAGCAGAATCATCGCATCGCGCAGTTTACCTTCAAAACTCGAACAACTGAACTCCACTCTGAAACGTCCAAAATTCCTTCACCCGGGCAGGGACTGGGGGGGTGGAGCACTGCGGAAACTGGACCCCCTTAGCCCTAGCTTGCGGCATGAGGAAGAGAAAGGGGGTGCCGCATCTTGCCAGCAAAGGCAACTCCCGCGTCTTGGCAGGAAGTTCGGTTATTCGTGTTCTGGGGTCGGTAGGAGTACTAGTACAGTAGTCTACTCGAGTACACGCTCCCGCTGGACAAAAGCTTTGCTTGGGGAAAGCAGGGGTTTACAGTACCGGTAATGCTCCTCGAATCTCGCATTCCTCATTGCGGGGTCGCTTCTAGAGAGCCTTTTATTGTCTCAGCCCTTTCGGACTTGATTAGTGTTGGAACGGTGGAAGATACCGTAGTGTTCCTTCGCCTTTACGAAGCCACTCGTCGGGACGGACATATCACGTCGTATCCCAAATCAGAACCGGAACAGTCAATTTCAGCATACTAAAGGGTTCTCGGCTCTCTTCAATTTTCGGTTTTCTTTGTATCCCTCACCGCAAATATACTGACTAGTGAAGTATACAATATAACGCCAAATACGATGGGCCACGACCCCCTAGGGCTGAGAGGGCAGGACAATACGATACCTGAATCGGTTTCTTAAGGTTGGATGTGGGAATTCCGTTTTCACCCCCTATACTAATTTACTGCTCTTTGAGCACTCTGAGTGAGTTGGATAGTATTAATCGCCATGGGGGTCACCGGTACTGTAAAAGTTGGGCTGATTCCTATGCTTGGTAGGGTCGTCTTAATGTTTGGATATGCAACACCGTCATGATTTTGACCAATCGGAGAGAAAAAAATATATATCCAAATTAGTTAAAGTCGCGGCCCTGGAATAAATTTTACGTACAAAGTCCAGTGCTGTGGCATCTTGTCAATTGTTATGTGTCAGATTTATAAAATCTTGGCAGGAGAACACTACCCGCCTCAAGGATTCCGGCACGGTAGCCCACGATGTTAATTATGCCCGAACAACATCATCCTTATTGCAACTGCTTTTCTGTGGAGAGCAATGCCCGAGCGAAAGAGGTATGAATTTATTAAAATAAAAAGCAATGGTATACGAAGGACCAAAAGAACTGGAAAGTATAAATCCTATGCATACTCGGGCGAAATCCACTTGGGGGCGCCCCTCCTCTCTCTCCATCTTTTGCCAAACACATGCAATATGCATATCGCTGGAATCACCACAACGGCTGTGAGGAGACCTTGTGTAGTAAATGTCCCTGTGAATCCGACAGTGTCGCACCATGGGGCTATGAAGAACGGATTCGCAAATGCCGACAAATTGAGTAGAACAACATAGAAGCTTATTACCGACATCGCGTGGAGTGGATAGCAGTCTACTATATAGGCACAGATTGCGGTGTTGCCCATTTGGATTCCCGCAGCGACTACATCTGGGTTAGTAACGCTTAGCGCGATTGGAGGATGGTGCGCTTACCCAGGAAGAGGGCTACTTGACCGACCATCCAATGGTAGTGCTTATCCACACTGACTCCCCATACAATCAATCCGACTTTATATGGTTAGCAAGTGGCAGTCCTAGGACTTGTTAGGCTTACCAGAAGTTATGACCGTAGCCGGGTATAAAAGCCACAATCTCATTTCCGCTACCCTTACATTATTGTTTTTCTTCGCAAGTTTAATAACAATCCAATCACCCAACGTCCCTGAGCATAGGACCTCGGAGAAGAGTGTCCCCAAAATCATACCGCCGTACAGAAGGCCTTGTATCTGGGGCCTGTATTCTGGGTATGCTGGCGGGAGGTAGGTTATCACAGACATGATCCACCAGTACCTTTTATCTATTAGGTATCATTCAACTTTTGAGAAATTTTTAGAGATGAGACTAACCATGCAAAAGAGTAGACCACTACGGCAACCGCTACGTTCGGGAATGTCCACATCTCGATAAATCGCACCAAGGTATCCCACGGCTTTGGATGCTCGATTCCCGGAATTTTCCATATATTCAAAAATGGTAATTGCTTGGTTCTAGCAATGTCATTTGAGGCAGATACAGTTGCAGTCTTCTCATTATCGTGGCGGAGCCCAGAGGATGTTGGTAGCTGGGAAAGCATGAGCCTTCTTGGATAGAGGGTTTCCGGAAAGAAGAAGATCTGCGCAATCAACAAGACGGCGAAAAAGATGGCCGTAAGCCAAGCCACCCAGTATTGATCCACCAGAGTGACGAACCCGCCGACTGCGAGGGTTAGCTTTTGAAGAATTTAGGGGATTGGCATGGGCATACTCAAAGGACCGACCAGCAATCCCATGTCTATCGCCAGAACCCACAAACCGAGCTTTTGCCCACGCTCGTGCTCAAAGAAGAGATCGTTCACAACGGCCATTCCGACAGTTGAAGCTGGTGCAACCCCAAGACCTTGGAAGAATCTAGCAGCCATGTAACTACTATACGTCTTTGCAACAGCGCTACCGATAGTAGCCACCAGGGCTATTATAGTGCCGATAATTAAGATGATGCGACGTCCATAGATATCCGATAAGGATGACCAGACAAGTGGGCCCACGGAAAGCCCCAAAGCTGGGAGAGCGACTGTCCAGTTCACTTGGGAATACGAGATTGAGAATTGCTCTTGCAAGAGAGCGAAGGATGGCACGGTCGTGGTGGTGATGTATGTGAACAAAAAGTACCTACAAAGTCAGATGTGAATGGCGACACCACAAGGACGAAAGGACAAAATCACATCCACATGACAATACCCAAAGCTGTCCATTTTTGCCATCTAGGAAAGTTCAAAGGGTCCAAAGGATCAGCGGTGGGTTTTGGATGAAGCTCAATACCATCTTTGGCTGGAGTGTATTCCTGCACGAACCCAGCCTCGTGGTTGTTATCGTAAGCGGGAATCCCGCTCTCGACAAAAGGCTTGTTCTGCTGCGCTTCCTCCTTCGACATATTTGGTCTGTTGTGGGATATCTCGCTGGATCGGCTAGCTAGCTGTCGCCGTATTTATCAAGCGATATAGGGGCTTAGTCCCAAGAGATCTGGAATTTGCTGTGTCTTTGCCCTGAGATTCTGTCGCAGTGGGATTATTCTCTGATATCTATCCGCACGCTGGAATCATACCAGGGATCACAAGAAAAGGGGACGAGCGCTGGAACCGCGTATGGAGTGGTCTTGGGCTGCACGAGAGTGGGGAAACGGTCCCCCACTGGCAAGCAAGCGGGCAAATTCCAGAACGCAAATAACAATAGCAAGTGGAGCAAAGGCGACGATTGAAGCGTGTATCAGTACTAAAGACAGTTGGTCATGGCTCACGGGTGAGATAACGCTTAAGCGCTGATGCGATTCCTTTTCCTCTTTTGTGGAGCACGAGATCTAGGAACTGGTAGGCGACCCGGAATGCTTGACACGGCCTCGACATGGCACGTATGATCTCGGTGTGTTTGAGATATCATAATGGAATAATTATCGCGGGGTTACTAAGATACCGCACTCTGCAAATAGTTATCTCGATTGCAGGGCCGATGCCGCACCAAGCACAGTAAGTTCACGGCGACATACGACCACCTGTATGGTACCCCACAGTACCGGTACCAGATTCGAAGTCTGAGCGTGCAGTCAGCGCAACACAAAAAGGTTACGGTAGGTAGCGATCGTCAATACCACTCCAATTGAACTATTACTACGATAGATACGTTTGCTCGTACAATGCCGGTACTTGTAGGGTACCGTACTCGAGTAGAGCTTGGAGATATAGTTGATCGGTTGGATGGAGGTGCAAGTATCCCGTTAGAGGCATCGTTCCGCATCCGACTCTTATTCGTGGGCCGGACGCCTGGCGGGACATGGGTCTCAATGGCGGTGCTCGAGTAGAGGATTGGAGCGTGGGTGTCTCGATTGCCCCATGCCGAAGTCTACGCAACAACGAGTTTATCCAATCCTACGGCAGGATCGACCAAGTTACAAGCACGAGATTCGCGCAACTCATTGGGCAACCTACAAACACGGGCTGCGATCCTGACTCATCCACACCACTGAACGGTTTGATACTTGCACTACCAACAAATCTGCACTATCGTCTCCGAACCAACCCCCTCTCTCCCTTCCCTCCCGTCCTGCTTTCCCCGACAATTCCCCATCCCCGGTCACAGTCCCACCATGATTACCTTCCATTTCACTCTCCTTGGTGTGCCGCTGGGCCCTTCATTACTTTTACGTAAAATCCCCCGATAAGCAAACGTACATGCATTGGCGCGTGGGAAAAAAGGAGGGTTGATTCGAAACCCCCGTTTGGGTTGGCTGGTCCTGGCAAGCACCGAATATGGTGCGGGTTCCTTGATGGTTGGATGCGGTAGGTATCGGACCCTCCTTGCGAGGGTTGAGACGTCAAGCTGTTGGGGTATGGTGGGGAAGCTGCGGTATGAGTACAAGTACTACCGTAGTACGGTACATGAGAAGTTCGCCCCTTGTCTGGTACTCGAGTACCGTAGACCGATTGAGTAATATTAGGTAATTCCGAGGTAGGGGAGTGGAACTTTACTCGAGTACGACAAGGTGGAGGGGTAGGGCTGGATTAGGTAACTGGACGGGAGGAGGAGAGAAAGAGTAGGGATGAAAGCAGAAATGAGCGGCACCATGCCCAAGCGTTGCCGCAATGTGCGGAAAGAGGGAGAAATTCCGGGACATTTCTGAGAGTTTGCTGCATCGATCTTGGTGTTGATCTTGGGCTTTCCTCACCCCTCCCTTTCCTAGGTTTTAGTTTCGGGGGTGCTCTTCGGTCTGTTTCGGGGGCTGCGGATCATTGGCTGCATACTGGTTTCTGTTCTATATCATGCCTTGTTCCACGCTGGTCTGTCGTCTACCCTGTTTGTCAGCTACTCGAGGACAGCAAAGTACCGCATTAACTGGGGAGAACCGACAGGTGCCAGTGTGTTCATATATGATTTCTTTACCCTGGCTTTGTCTCAAAACCGCAATAAAACGCTATATCCTAACTCTATATATCTAAGGCTAAACCGTTCAGGGCCCTCACTTTTTGACGCAATTGTGAGTTTCACTTAAGCCGCTTCTTATTTCAACGTGAAGGTGTCTGCCTGTTCTCCCCAATTCGTGCGGTATTATATACTGCAGTGTAGGGCGGCGGTAGACGTCTATCTACGAGCACCTTCCCGTCTGCCTGTAAAATTGCAAAAAGGGTAAATATCCCCCAGGACGACGGACACACAAACGTACCTGTACTGTACCTACACCATCGAACGTCGAACTGCCGACCCCCATCTGTGGTATCTGAGCTCTCGCATCATACTTGAGCTTCACTCATGGATCCTACTACCACTCCTTCATCTTCATCCACCGCTACCACAAAAATGTCCTCCTGGCTCCCCCTCCCCCTCGGCGAGACAAACCCACTGGAAACGGACGAGCACACTTCCCTATTACCAAAGCCCACAAACCACGACAATGAATCAAGAAGCGTACTCTCAGAATTCACCCTCCTGCTCAAAAACAGCATCCCCGTAATCATCGCCTACACGTTACAGAATTCCCTACAAACCATTTCCGTGTTAATAGTCGGCCGCCTCTCACCCGAGCACCTCGCCACTGCTGCATTCTCTTACATGTTTGCCATGTCCACAGCCTGGCTGATCGCTTTAGGGGGAACAACAGCGCTGGATACACTCTGCTCCTCATCCTACACCGGTAGTAAAAACCCCCACGAACTCGGCATCTTATTACAGCGTGCTTTCGTAGTGTTGGGAGTATTCTATATTCCAGTTGCAATCTTATGGTACTTCTCAGAGGGCGTCTTTCTGCGACTTGGCCAGGATCCCAGTCTCTCCGCCGATTCCGCTACCTTCCTACGGTGCTTAATACCCGGCGGCCTGGGCTATATATATTTCGAAGCCGGGAAGAAGTTCCTCCAGGCCCAGGGAATTATGCGCGCGGGGACTTATATCTTGCTAATCACGAGCCCGTTGAATGCACTGTTGAACTGGTTGTTTGTCTACCCTTTTGGTATGGGGCTTATCGGCGCACCGATTGCGACTGGCATTACATACTGGGTGGGGTTTTTAGGGATTATGGGGTATGCTCGGTTTTCTCGGGGGTGGACGGCTTGGGGCGGATGGGATAGAGCGTGCTTCAGGAATATGGGTGTGTTTGCGAGGTTGGCGGGGTTGGGGGTCGTTATGGTTGGGACCGAATGGGTATTTGTCGCTCTCCCACCCCGGAGGAGGCGAGCGCTGATGATAATTATAGTGGGCGTTTGAAATTGTCGCCCTAGCAGCCGGGAGGTTAGGTACCGTGCCCCTCGCCTCCCAATCAGTAATTATGACAACAGACCAAGTTCTCAACACAATTCCCTTTGGCATCGGCGTCGCAGCGTCCGCCCGTGTGGGAAATCTCCTCGGAGCACGAGATGCAAAAGGTGCTGCGAGAGCAGCCAATACTGCTGCTGTCCTTAGCATTGTTCTCGGAGCGGCAGTGATGGCAGTAATGCTCATTGTGAAAGACTACTACGCAAAGATCTTCAGCGACGACGTCCGCGTCATCAAACTCACCGCACAAGTCCTACCGCTCGTCGCACTATTTCAAATTGCAGATGGGCTAAATGGTTTCCCTCCCAAACTTCTGCCCTCTTTCCGATGGCACGGCTAACAATTTGCAGGCAGCTGCGGTGGAGCACTAAGAGGCATGGGCCGTCAACATATTGGCGCAGCAGTGAACCTTGTCAGTTACTACTTTGGTGCCCTGCCGTTAGGTATCTGGCTCGCTTTCCACGGCTGGGGGCTTAAGGGCCTTTGGGTCGGGCAGTGCATAGCATTGTACCTTGTCGGGGCAATGGAATGGGCCCTTGTGGGGTTTAGCAATTGGGATAGACAGGTCGTGAAGGCGTTTGAGAGGATGGAAAGCGATGAGCGGATCGAACAGGGGGGGCTCTGATGGTTAGCACTTTTGCTGGTAGAGAGGGTAAATTTTTTTCCATAGTTAGGGAGTGTATCTCGAGTATCATATGCTGGATAGATGGACGATAGAAGAAATGATTAAACGAACAAATTAACCCATTAACTTGGCGCATAACACTCGGCCTTGTGGACCATTAATACCCCTAAAGATAAGGTAAATGGTGAAATGTCAGGCAAAAGGCAAAGTTATTATGACCACACCACTACAAGTGGAACACGGCGCATACTACATTACGGTAGTCCGCTCGAGCACAGTAACCGTGGTAGTCCCAACTGCCAGATTCTAACCAATCACCCACGGATCAAATATTATCCGCGTCACCCTCCTACCAACCCCTTCCCTCGCATGCACGCATCCAATTCCAACCAATCCCATTCATCAAACGAGCATTTCCCCGTTATCTCGCGTCCCCGAAGCCACCAATCCCGACTACAGTGAATGCCATTCCCCATCCATCCAAATTTCCACCCATTTTTTTCTCTCTCTCTCATATCTACCGCCATTTCAACCTGGTTCACAAAAAGAAGGTTCACAGCGTAAGCTGCTCGTGGTGAGGCAAGTGAGGATTGATTAGTCTACTTCCGAGTTTCCATTAGCTAAGAGAGATAAGGTAACGAGAACGATTTCCTAAACGTAAGGTGAATCAAATTGTCACGGGAAAAGTGGGGTTACGTAAGAGTGGGAAAAATCCCACCATGACATACTCGCAGTAGTAAGTGTTACTGTACTCATACTGTACTCATACAGGTGAATAGTCTAAAAGAGGAAGTTCGGAGGATGCGTTCGTTAACTCGCTGGCCCGTATCATTGCTTAACTAGGGTTTCGATGGGAGGGGGGGCCGGGAATCATCGATTGGGGAGGAGTGTTGTGGTGAATGTGTCTGATCTATTGTGGATCGGCTATCATTTTGGCGGATTGACCACCGTTTATTCTACTCGTGTTGGCTGGCCGGGGAAATTATTAGGTGCGGGAAGATTTCATCTCGATTTCCCATGCTTTTGAGTGCTGTGAGTACAGTACAAGTACTGCGCTGCGCAGTATTGTATCCTACGTAGGTGTGCTGGAAGCTGACGGTGAATTTAGCTAACTAGCTACTGTCCTCGAGTAGCTAGCGAGCACGGAGCAGCACAGCAATGGCTGCCATGCTCTCCCGGAAGATCTAGTGTGTGGAACAACGCAATGCACTGACCAACACTTCCATCTCAACTTTTCTGCTTATAATAACCTGCTCTATAAACCTGAGTAACATCGGCGGCCGCTGATGTTAATCTATTACGTACGAGAAATCAACCCCTTTCCGACAAATTGGTGACGGCAATTACATTCATCCTAGGTACCTGACGTACTGTACGTTGGCCATGGCCTTTTCCATTGTTTTTTATGCCCTTAGCTTTGAAACGTGTAGTTGGGTCCGGGGACTACAAATATCTAGGTAGATAACGTGAATTGGGTCGATTAAATACGGGAAGAGAGAGAGGTCAATTGAAGAAAAGAGGAAAAAAAAGATACATCAAGTATGTTTACCAGGACTTTACTTTTCACCGCGTTGGTGGGGTTGGGCGGCGGAGGCGTAGCTTGGGGACATGAGCATTCCGGAAGTTTGCAAGAACACTTGGGTGCCCAAGGGCCGCATAGAGAGAGACTGTGGTATAATGTCTTGCCGGGGGACGGGGGGACGCAGGTATTCCTCTATTGCTTTCTCTCTCCACTACTCAATTGCGTAAGTGGTGAAGCTGATGATGAGGGAATGTTGCAGGCAGACAGCGTCTTTAGTGGGATCTCAACGTTCGGGAGGTTACCGTACTTTCCGTGTCTATCTTCCGATAAGGAGAAATTTGATATCGCCTTCTTGGGTGCTCCTCTCTTCCACCAGTTGTAGCGGTAGCAATAATTAACGATCCCAGGCGCCCCTTTTGACACCGGAACCTCCTACCGCCCCGGCGCACGTTTCGGCCCATCCGGAATCCGTCAAGGTTCCCGCCGCCTGAATCTCTAGTATCTCCTCCCACCCCCCTCTTGTAACTAACAAAACCTGTATCCCCAGGCTCACACAAACTCTGCTTCAGCGGCGGCTATAACACTCTTCTTTCCGTGAACCCCTTCAACTCCTGGGCGCGAGTGCTGGACTGCGGTGATATCCCCGTAACGTCCTACGATAACGCGTACGCCATCAAGCAAATTGAGCAGGGACACTACAGTCTCTTGTCCAGGACGCCAGCCTACGAAGCGGACGAGGGGCGAAAGGGCCCGGCGAAGGGTGGGAAGGTGTTGCCTAGGATTATCACGCTTGGGGGTGATCACACGATCGTGCTGCCGATTCTTAGGAGTGTGAAGAGGGCTTATGGACCGGTTTCTGTTATCCATTTTGACAGCCATCTGGATGTGGGTCCTGCTTTTGAGGTGGCGAGCGCAAGGAGCGAGAGCTGATAATAGAGCGTGAATAGACTTGGGTGCCAAAAGTATTCGGCGGTGCACCGACTGAGCAGGCTTCTGTTAACCACGGGACTTACTTTGTATGTTTCTTCCTTCCTTCCTTCCTACCTTCCCCCACCCTCTTCCGCTTTCTACATACTGATATTTCTTAAAAAGTGGCACGCATACAAAGAAGGTCTCCTAAAAAATAATACCAACATCCGTACTGCCCCCCTCCCCCCAATCCCTGTCAATGCAGGACCGACTAACGCCCATAAGACGCCGGAATAAGAACTACACTGTCCGGCCCTAGCGATTACGAAAATGACGCCGTCGTCGGCTTCAACCTCATAGAGGCGCACGAAATCGACGAAATTGGCGTCGGTGGAATAGTTAAGAAGATCCGGGAGAGGGTTGGTGAAGGACTAGTCTACCTCTCAATTGATAGTACCTCTCACCCTTCTCCTCCTCCTCGGTGTGGGGGGAACGATTGCTAATGCGTGTGGGTGAACAGTTGACTCGTTGGATCCGGCATTCGCGCCTGCGACCGGAACGCCCGAGACTGGGGGGTGGAGTACGCGCGAGTTGAGGGCTATCATTCGCGGCTTGGATGGGCTGCAGTTGGTTGGCGCGGATATTGTGGAGGTTGCGCCAGCTTATGATACTAATGCTGAGCTGACGACTATGGCTGCTGCGGTGAGTCTCTTCTTTGCGTTGTTGGTTGGCGATGGTGATTTGGGGCTAATTAGCATTTAGGATGTGCTGTTCGAAGTCATGAGTGTCATGGTCAAGACGCCTTTGAAGAGCGTTTGATAGATTTTGTCGATGCCAGAGAGATAGGTGGGTGTCTATGATCGAAAGATAAATAACAATGACATCACGAGAACTCACTCGTGTCATAACCCTCGTTATAATCATTTCCCACAAAGCTCCTCACAATCGTATCAAGTGAAGCCCAAGATGTGATAACATGGATGGCGAAACAAAATAATATGCACGCTGCAGAGCGGGCCGCGGACATATCTGCTACAGCACAGGTCTCTTCGAGGAAAGGCATCCGCGAAGACTCCCGCTGTGAGGGACATGCTATCTTGGATGTTCTGTAGCAGTAAGAAGCAGATGCCCCACAGGATTAATCCGCTTCGCAGCGATAAACGTGCTGAATAGGGGAGTGGCGGGGTTTATCGAGTTGCGAAATGGGGTTTGTGTGGGTGAGGCTCACCCGGAACACGTTTGTGATGGACATATCCGGGGAATCGGCGCCGTGGTTTGCCATTAGGATTCCCGGGGAGCGATGGTGGTGCCCACGGACGTGGGGGCGATGGGAGGGTTGTAAGTCATCCAAGTCAGACGCGAGGCGGCAGTCCAAGTGTGGCTCGTATCGTCGCCATGCGTCCATACGTGTGGGGTGAAGGTGGGGCAGGTCAGCCCAGCGCTCAAAGTCGGATTTCGAAAAGGTAAACGTCCTCCGTCGTTTCGCGCCGGGATTCCAGGAAGGGCTCTATCGCGTCGCCGGGTGTTAAGAGCAGCGGGCCGACCCGTGATTCCTTGCTAAAAATTGGAGAAGCGTTTCCCATATTATCACCGTGGGGGGTGTGATACACCAATCTAGAGAAAACACTTCCCAAGCCCCCTTCCGCTCAGAGAATAGTTCGCAGAGATCTAGGGTTACCCCCATCAGCGTGCCCTTGGGGTGGTAGGCCTGGGCGGTTGTGGTCCATCACTGTGTGCATGTTGAAGAGAGTGCCGGGAGGACGGTCCCCAGCGCTCACGCCGCTGACCGAATACTCCCTGCGTAGGGGCAAGCTCCGTAGATTCTACCGTGAGGAGACTAAAACCTGCATATTCATGAGCCGCATGCAATTTGTCCACTTCATTCCTCGTCAGCGTACAGATTGTTTGCGCAGTGTACGTTATCGCCGTCAGCATGCCCACCGAAAATGCGGCTAGCAAGACAGACGTACCCCTTCGTTTGATGCCGAATTTCACGGCTTTTTAGTATGCGCCCGGCATTGTGATCAACAAAAGCCATCCCTAGATACAGCTATGACATCGGGTTAACTGAAGAATAAGTCACGCTAATCGTGATATGAAAAACCCCTGTGCTTGAGAAGTGGTGTAAATTTAGTGCCCAGAACGGTGACTTTTAGCTTAAGCAACGAAATCAAACGGAGGGACAGCATTGGCGCCATCGACACACCCGCAATCACCGGAATACTCGTAGACTATGCATCCCCGAAACATCAAACGTCCGCTTACTCAGCAATAGAAAGACCCCAAAGCACCGAGCACCAACCGGGTCCCAAACAACCGAAAGAATAAATTCCCCGCACGCGAGCCAGTGAAGATCCGTGCTCGGGAAGCAGACCCCCCAGGTGCCAAGGCAGTACCTGGCAGTCCGCGTTCGTGACCGGTTCCGCCCTCGGACTCGGAGTCTCGGTATCCACGTTCGGGGGAGTCTTGGTCTTTGTGTTCGTCCTCGCTGGAGAAGTATCCGGCTTCTTGGTTGGAAGACGTACGAGTACCAGTAGGTAGGAGGGGCGTTTCACGGCGGGGGTACGCGGGTGGAGGGTCGTATGCTGGTGGTGGGTCAGTATGCGTTGGTGGTTCCGGCGGAGGAGATGGTGGAAGGGGGAGATGTCGGTGAAGTCGGGACAAGAGGGACTGCTCGAGTAACGGGGTGGTCGGTTGCATGTCATCTTGTTCTGAAGAAATTGGCTGCACTGCAGCGGTTGTGTTGATGGGATCGATCTGTGGAATGGTGTTGCCCCTTTTTGCGGCTCTGTTGGATGTAGGGGCGTGAAGGTGATTTTATGGGATAGATGCTCTTGGCAATGGAAGGATAGGGGATTACGGTACCGATAGGCTGCAGGATTCATTGCTGGAGGTGAATTAATTGGGGAGGTTGACTACCGGCATGTGTCTGGAGCACGGATGGCTGGATCGTGTGTTCTCCGGGGTGGTCTACAGTACCCAACGAGCATGATACCGGTACTGTACAGTATTAAGTAAGTTAGCATCACCACACCATATAACGCTCTCCCAGAACCCCCCACAAAGAAAACTCTCCAGGAACCTCCTAAGCCAAGTAGTGCTGATAACTCAAAGTTTAAAGCGAAACCCCAAGACAAAATTCCCGTCCCCACGATCGCGCACGCAATAAATTCTCCGACAAATCAAAAACAGAGAGGATCTACCCCGGCTCAGATCTCTCCACAGCCGCCGCCAAGCCTAGCCGCCAAGCCACGAATGAGCCTCCATGAAACCCCAGTGTCAAACCTCACTCGCGCACTCATCATCTCTCGAAAGGATGAATAGTGTACCACACCTCACCGTACTAGTCCGGTCTCGGGATTCAATAACAAATGATAGCCTTTCTATTGACTGTTTCCTACCGATCCCCCTCCCCCGGTAACTACTTTATGCCGGATCATGACCTACTGAGAACGCACAAAAAAAGCACATATCACACAAAATAAGCGGAGGGATGTTCGGTGGCTACAGCTTCAGCACGGGTGCGCACCCAATACGGTATAGACTGCTCTGTGTTGGACCAAGTCCGGAACCCTCGATCGCCTCGGATAGTTGGTTTGGCCTAGGTTATTTCTGTGCCCCGGTGCGACACGCCTAGTTTTATGCCATCCTACTCACTAACGTTTCCCCTCAATCCACCCCCCCCTCAGGTGGGCAGGGAAATTTCTCCCCCTCCTCGAGAACCGGTCTCTGGTAAACCTATACCGTAGCCGTTGCGTGGTGGTGGGGGATTTCCATTGCTAGAGGCGTTCCTTTTGGCCTGGCACAATTTACCTCCTTGTCGAGTGGGGGTCGATGACTGCCGACGATTGCCAGTTACTACTGCAATGACGCAAAAACGCCACTGCATTGTTGGGGGGGCTGTGAAGCATGGTGAAGTGTAAGTTTACTTTTGCGGTGAAAATGAGGTTGGGGTGGAGAAGGGTTGGTAAGGATTATCCCCTGGACTGTTGAGGGGGTCTGGTAAAAGTTCTCTCATGCATTAGTGCTTACAACTAGGTTAAGTATGGCTAGTATGCACATGATTTTTAAAATTGAATATTTGCCACTGACGACAAGCATAACTATTAGACAGCTTTATCAAATTTCAACTTTCCTACTCTGCACCTTGAGCCTGATTGACAAATCTATGCCATTGAAGAAAGCATGGACTCGGACTGTTCTTATTAGTACCACAAAGTGCGATTGGAGGCTTGCATGTTGAACACTGAAATTGAGTAAGTTTCGGCTGACGACGTCCTTCTGTTTTACCCAACTGGAAATTAAATCAACAGATAGCACACTCCCTTCGCTTGTAACCAGCAATTTGAATCAGAGTATGATCTGGTAACTGAGTACTGGTTGTAGCTATCACAGGAGTAGTTTGTAAGCTGCTACTGTTGTGATTTGTAGTCTGTACTGATGCCCAGGATTGATGGAGGTTGCTGTATTTGGTAAATAACAGGCGGGAGGTTTTTAATCTGTAATACTGAGTAAACTGTGGCTGAGCGGGTATTCTTGCTAGGGTACAGGATTTAGAGTGTTGGCATGAGTGATTAAATTGGTGAGAATCGGTGTTGGAGTTGGAATTATGGCAATTTGAAAGCTGTCGAAATAGAGTTTAACAAACAACTCTGCAGAATAGGCTTGGGCAAGAGAATGCGAGAGCAAATCAGATGCTTGTAGCTGATGGGAATCAAGTAGCTGATTAAGCTTCTGATTGCGTGCCATCTGAAATAAGACATATGTGTTCATGATAGATGTATTAATAAAAAAAAACAGAAATGCTAACCAATTTTACCTTGCTCTCTGATGGCTAGTATATGATGCACGGTGTTGATCAGCAAGATCCACACTATTCATATGATGATTATAGTCATCAATGATCATAGGAATATAGCTAGACCTCCTTTCATTTTCACTAAATGCTCTTCAGACCATTGTTGCATTGGAGCTAGTAGAATGAGGTTTCCGCTATATTGTCTATGTAAGCTCATTCCATGGATGAACAGTAGATAGCATTCGGACAATATTGTTGTCCATCCAATGAAGGCATAAAACACCCAGTAGTGATATTGTACTACGAATAACATATTCATCCATTGTATTCCAATCAACAATCTCATCATTGGACTTTAAAGCTGGAGGATATTTGGGCCTGTTAATACGTATTGTACCACATGCCCCCATACCAAGCTCTCGGAGCTTTTCGAAAAGAGGGATAGTAGTAAAACCTTTATTCATATAGATGATATCGTGGCTGGTATGTGGTATGGGAGCATTCAAAGGAGTTACTAGAAGACTTCTGCAAAGCTGAATAACTGCAGAGCTCGTAGGTGATAGATCCGGCTGTCGAATTAGATCCGCAAATGACTTTTTGCAAGAAAAAAGTATCCAATCAATTGTATATCTAAAGGTACTCTCATATTAGAATCCAAGATTAAAGATTATAAGGTTAAATTTACTAAGTAGTCTTGGAAACCTACCCCTTATAGCATACCGCTATAACTTTATAGCTAACTGGAATTGGCTTGGTGGGAAATTGTACTGTAAGTTGACTACGTCCGTAACGATCCCTTCTTGGATGGTTAGTTCTTGTCGATGGGGAACGATACTTTTGTTCTTTTTCTATTTCTTTCTTCGTCTTATGATAGCACCAGGCCTCTGCCTATGTTACCGATAGTACAAGACCTTTGCCTTCTATTGGGAATGCCTATTGTAACCTTTCTCTAACTCTTCTCTGTGAAGAGCTTTCCTTTGCATGATAATAACATTGTGATAAAGATAAGGATCGTAAAGATGTTTTATATTCGTTAAAGTAATAAGTAGGAAAAGTACTTAGAATTCAATCTAATTTTATTTATACTAGTACTGCCAACACTGACATAGGACTAGTGTAACGTGT